AACCCTTCTCTCCCCTCACCTCTGTGAGCAGGCTGAGCTGCAGAGTCTGCCGCTGTGGGGGGCAAGCTCAGAAGATAAGAACGTGTGACTCCAGGGGGAGCAGGTGCCAACCAGCAAAAACCGTCAAATTCATACCAGAACTGACAGACTTCTGTCTTGTCAAATGGTTTTCTTTATCACATAACATTTCAAGAGAACAGATTAGGAGTGCTGCCTGGGTCTTAGCCCCCGTGGTGCTCAAATGTAGTGTCCTAAAATCACCTGGGGGCTGATTGAAATCACAGAGTCCCCAGCTTGCTTCCCTGGCTGTGCATTTTCCAGGCTCTGAGACAAACGGGTGGTCCACAGGGCACCCTTGGAGAAGCTCCACTCCAGAGAAGAAGCCCCTGGATAGTGCAAATGGCTCATGCACTCAAAGGCTAACTGAAAAGTTGGAGGCTCCAGGGCACCCGGGGGGTGCATCAGAAGAAAGGCCTGGCAATCTACTGCCGAGAAAGCCGTCCTTGAAAACCCCTTGAAGGACCATTCTGCTCTGACACACGTGGAGTCTGTTGCCTTGAGTTGAATCCACCTCCACAGCATTCGGTTGGGTTTTAACCCAAGGAGCATGATCATATGCACTCCGTCGGGAATGGTAGAAGTTGAATCAGATTCTAGATGGTAGTATTTGTCAAAATTTCTGAGTCCAGTTTAGAGAATATATTTTCATGCTTCTTCTATTCTTTCATTTCATGCATGTTTACTGAGATGCCACCATGCGTTATGCCTTGGGCTGCTAACCCCAAGGTCGGCAGTTCAAAACTACCAGCCACTCCATGGGAGAAAGATGAGGCTGTCTGATCCCATAAAGAATCAAAGCCTCGGGGCTCCACAGAGGCAGTGCTACTGTTTTATAGGGCTGTTGTGAGTTGGAATTGACTAGATGACAGGGAGCTTGGCTTTCGTTTGTGTCAGCCTTAAAGAAATCTACAGATAGATAGGCAGATGTTACCCCTCTCCCAGGGGAACTTGCATTCCAGTTGGGATTGCACAAGCAAATAATTTTCTTCTCTGTACAGAGAAGCCGGCCACGGGGAAACAGATTTTCTAAAAGTTGGCAAAGATAGTAAACGCCCTTGAGCATAACTACCTCAGGATGCCTCTTCTCCACAATACCTCTGCGGTGGGCTCATCCACCCAGTGTATTTAAATACTTCTGCCACCGGGGCCTCACTGCCGGGTGATTCGGGTTTTCTTGTTCTTACATATTCAGTGCCCTGTCCCTGAAACTTCTAGCTCTCAGTTTTAGTCTTTTGCAAGACATACAGCATAAGTTAATCCTCCCTCTCATAAGAGAGTCGTTAAAATAGCCCAAGATATGTTCAACAGCAGCAGCAAAAAATAAATAAAAAGCACATTTTTAAAAGTCCCTTCATGTAAAACCTGTTTTCACCCATGCACTATAACGTCTTCTCTTCCCCCAGGTGAACACCTGCCGTATAGCCTCATTTCGGGTCCTCTCTTCATCCCAGTTATTGTCCTTTTCTGGCTGCTTTTTACCTGGTCTCTTGTTTTAAAATGCAACCAGTCACTTATTTCTGTCTTTACTAAGCAAACAACAGTCGCCGGTGTAGGTACTGGACAAGAAAATAACCGCCTTCTTCACTGGGCTATTTAACTCTCTGAACGTTACCTTCATTACCTATGTGACATAGCTCAAAGCAAAGAGACCAAGTCCACTGCCCTTGAGATGAGTCCAACTGGTTTCTGAGACTAAGTCTTGACAGGAGCAAACAGTTCATCTTTCTCCTGAGGAGTAGCTGGTGTATTTGAACCACCAACCTTGTGGTTAGCAGCCCAAGGTCTAAACCCACAGTGCCGCCAGGCTAAAACTCCAAACCTCACTGCCATCAAGGCAATTCCAATTCATAGCAGCCTAATAGAATAAAGGAGAATGGCTCCTGTGAGATTCTGAGGCGGAAAATCTTTATAGGAGTAGTCAGCCTCATCTTTCTCGCATGCAGCGACTCGTGGTTTCAAACTGCTGACCTTGTGGTTAGCAGCTCAACTCATGATGCACTAAACCACCAGGGCTCCTTTAGGCCATAGTGTCACAGAGGCCTTTGTGAATAGGCCACCTTTCTTCCCTTCATTACAAACTACCAACAGACTCGTGTGGACCTTCTATAATTTAGATGCTACACTGCCAACTTCCGAGGTCTGGTTCACGTTTCCTTTGTTTCATTGTTAGTTATATGTTCTTTTTCTCTGTTGATTCACACACAGAGAGAGAGAGGCTGCTTATGGAAGCATGCTTTCCTGAGTGCAGAGTGCCGGAGCTAATGGCCATTTGCAGCTCCACAGAGCATGTCAATGTCATATTGACATGTGTGTCAAAAGGCAGGAGAGACCAGCTAGTGTGGTCCCAAGAGGACTCCTGCCAGCTCTGAGCCCCTTTAATGGAGCGGCAGGGCCAGCTTAGACCTCCTACAATGACCTGTAGCCTGTGCTTCCTGTCGGAGCTGCCGGGCTAAGCCACGCCTGGGAGACTTGGTAGATTCTGGGACAACTCAGAAAGAAACCGGAAACGCTCTCTCTAATAACATTCAGCAAGCAAGGACACACCCTGTGATTGCTGATGGAGCTGCAGCCCCCGAGTCCCTCTACTGGACTCTGAGGGCCACTGCACTTGACCTTTTTTAAACAACCCACTACTCCAGTGGCGCTCAACCTTCCTAATGCCGCGACCCTTTCATACAGTTCCTCATGTTGTGGTGACCCCCCCAACCATAAAAGTATTTTCATTGCTACTTCATCACTGTAATCTTGGTACTGTTATGAATCGGGCGACCCCTGTGAAAGGGTCGTTCAACCCCCAAAGGGGTCTCGACCCATAGGTTGAGAACCACTGTACTACTCTTAGCCACCCAAAGGGCAGAGTGGAACCGCTTTCTGGAGGCTGGGAAGCTGGGAGTCCTTACAGGAGCCAAAGCCTCACCTTTCCCCTTGGGACAGCTGGTTTTCAGCAAGCAGCGGAAGGCATCACCCATGGTGCCACCAAGGCTTGTTGAGAACTTAGGGGTACCAAAGAATGTCCTCAAACAAGATGCCGGGGTCCCTAGTCTACACAAGACCAGGCCGGCCCTAGGATTAGAATTTTGGGTGTGAAGATCATCTCTGAAACCATCTCACTGCGGCCTCATAGCCACCCTGATGCGCAAAGTGGCATCTGAAGGAGGATGACTCAGGGGTGGAGGAGCAGCAAGAGCCCCGAAGCCCATCCCCTCACGCCCCATGCGGGTCTGAGTACTTGCTCAACCGTCCACCAGCCCCAGGTTACAAGACCAGCTTCCCAGTCGCCCTGGGATTCCAGGCAACCAATCGCAGAGGAGAGAAGAGTCTAGAAACAAAGTCTGACAAACAAGTGCCATCTGGGCGCTCAGGAATCCAGCCATGTGCTGGCTCCTCTCCTTTTAGAGCTGGTCACAGGAGGAGCGGCACCACACGGATAACATGTTCCTATTTCGCGTTCTAATCCGGGACACCTGTCCCTGCTTTGGGGAATGTGTGATATGTGGGGGCTTCTTCTCAGCATGTGGCCAGCCAGCTGTTGCTCATGCCTTTCCAAATTGGCCTCTCAGGTCCGAGGCTGGCCAACTGGGCCCCCGGCCACCCTCAAATGTGGGTACTAAATTTGACAAGCCTTGAGTCTCTTGGGAATTTGCGGGTCACGGCAGTGCTAGCAAACAGGACATTCACCATGAGACCTCCTTCCTGCAAACAGGATGACTTTGGTGGCCTGCCGAACGTCTTTGAAGAGCAAGGGGGCCTGAAATCCACCAGGGCCTGTCACTTTATGTCACCCCCATTGCTACCCATTCACCCAGCAAACATTTATTGGCCAGCTGCTGTGTCACTCAGGGCTGCTCATCTATCCCCTACACATGTCCCAAACACATGTGGCGCCTCCACTGAGCACACAGCCCCACGCTGGGAGCTCTGCTGGAGATGAGGCGATGGCTAGAGCCCGGGCCCCGCCCGGAGGAGCCCTTACTTTAGATGGGTGGTGAACCCTCTAACTACCGTGACTCAGAGCCCCAGGGCCTGACGGGGCTTTAAGGAGCGATGGAACACGGAGGAGAGAGATGGCCCTCCCAGCAGACAGGTAAGAGAGTTTGGGAGGTGCCCTGGGAGACAGAGTTGGAATGCGCAGACAGACGAGTGAGGCAATGTGGGTGGGGGGTAGGGGAGCCACAGAGGGCTGAAGGCGTGGATCCATCTGAGCTTCCGTTGTGTTCCCGGCCCCTTAGGTTCTGAGGTTTGGCACCCCATCTGCAAGCAGGCAGCCCGGGCAGAGAAGAAGTTAAAGGTAAGCAAGCTAATGCCAGTGATACCAGAGCATCACCAGTGCATGGGGCTTCTGACCACAGGTTCACAGCAGGCAGCCCCCCGTGGGCAGCATCCCCAGGCCCCGTCTCCTTCACAACCCGGATGTGCTTTGCCCCACGTGTGTGTCTACCACCTGTCTCATTTATACCCTCACTCGTTTTCTCTGCATCAGCCATGACTTTTCATTTCAGCAAGCTTCTTTTCAAAGAGCACTCTACCAAGTGCAAAACCATGATCGGGTACCATGAAGCCAATTCAATGAAGATGAAACTAGCATCAATTCCTGATAGATAATGCTGCCTTCTTCATTTTTGTCTTTAAAAAAAAAAAAGGATGAGGGAGGAAGGGAGTTTTCCACTGCTAGGAGTTGTAGAAATTGCACGGACACCAAATTGAAGCTTCCCCTTTGATCTGATCAAGAGGATTGAAATTGAATTTTACATTTATTCTCTCTCCCTATGGTGCACTGCTGACAAACCTGCCACTGACGCTCAGCTCCCTGGAGCCTCCCCGTTCACCCACTGCCCACACTGGGAAAGCAGTCCAGGCAGCTAGCCCCCCGAGAGAGCTCACGGGCTGTAAGATAGGCGGTCTGGAAGGGAAGGGAAGTGACCGCTCTGGAACAGCCCTGTGTTTGCCAGGAATGAGCGCCCCTCATAATCTGGAGTGGCCTCTCATCCCCTATGTCCCCAGCTGGCTTTTAATGTCGCTGCCATCTTCCAGCTTAACACCGCATTGCTCAAGGGAACCACTGACCCATCGTCGTGGTTGTTCAAGAAGGTTTTTGTTTGCGGTTTTTGTTGTTGTTTTTAAGTGTGTCCCTTAGGTGCCTGTCCATTTGGGACGACTCGGCATGGGGAGCCAAGGCGTGAAGTTTTGTCAGCTAGAATGAGTACTACAGTCTATTTGCTTAGTGTAAATGCATTACTGGCTGAGAGGACCAAAAGAAGACAGATTCTGTGAGCAACTTTCCTATTTAAAAAGACCAGCTGCAAATATAAAGAGAGTAAATCCATTTTCTCATGAGCAATCTAAAGCTCTGTTCATTCTGGGATTTCATTCCCACTCGGGCATTGATTTATTTAACTAATTAATTTTAAAACTTTTTTTAGCTTTTAATACACTTTATTTGAATCTTCTGAGTATGTACAGTGTGAGGCATGGATTCTGTTTGATTTTCTGCATCAGGAAATCCATTTTTTCCCAACACCATTTGTTGATACTCTCTTTCCTGATTAAATGGACTTAGTAACCTTGTCTAAGATCAGTTGAACATAGAAATGTGTTTATTTTTAGACTTTCAATTGGATTCCATTAATGTGTGTTATGAATTAAATTATTTCTTCCAACTATATGTCCCAATTTGGCTAGTCTCTTTTTTTCAATCATTTTGTTGGGGGCTCATGCAACTCATCACAATCCATACATACAACCATTGTGTCAAGCACGTTTGTACATTTGTTGCCATCATCATTCTCAAAACATTTTCTTTCCACTTGAGCCCTTTGTATCAGCTCCTCATCCTGCCACCCTCCCCCCCCCCACCGCCATTCCTCCCTCCCTCACGCACCCTTGATAATTTATAAATTATTATCATTTTATCATGTCTTACACTGTCCGACATCTCCCTTTACCCATTTTTCTGTTGTCCGTACCCCAGGGAAGGGGCTATATGTAGATCCTTGTGCCCCTTTCTACCCCACCCTCCCAGTATCACCACTCTTACCACTGGTCCTGAGGGGTTCCTTGTGTTTCCACCTCCTATCTGTACCAATGTACATCCTCTGGTCTAGCCAGATTTGTAAGGTAGAATTGGGATCATGATAGAGGGGGAAAGGAAGCATTAAAGAATAAGAGGAAAGTTGTATGTTTCATGGTTGCTACACTTCACCCTGACTGGCTCATCTCCTTCCCGAGATCCTTCTGTAAGGGGATGTCCAGTTGCCTACAGATGGGCTTTGGGTCCCCACTCTGCACTCCCACTCATTCACAAGAATATGATATTTTCTTCTTAGATGCCTGATACCTGATCCCATCAACACCTTGGGATCACACCGGCTAATGTGCTTCTTCCATGTGGGCTTTGTTGCTTCTCAGCTAGATGGCCGCTTGTTTATCTTCAAGCCTTTAAGACCTCAGACTCTATATCTTCTGATAGCTGGAGACCATCAGCTTTCTTCACCACATTTGCTTATGCACCCGCTTTGTCTTCAGTGATTGTGTCGGGAAGGTCAGGCATTGATTTGAATGGCAGGATGCTTAGGGAAAATAGAGAAGTAACCAGAGTATTTTCGCAGTATGGCTAGCATTCCCGGGGAGAGTTGCACCCTTCCATCCCGTCTCCCCCTGCCTACCAAGCCTGCAGTGCAGCCCCTCACCCTTCTGTCTCTGTGTTTCCTCACAGCATAGGCGGACATCTGAAACTTCCATCTCACCCCCTGGATCCAGCATCGGGTCGCCCAACCGAGTCATCTGCGTACGTAGTATTTTCTGACCACCAAAGGGCTTTGCTTTCTCCTTAGTCCTGGTTTCCAAAGTTCTTAAGGACAAGAGAGTGACCAAAGACAGCCATCTGCATTTCAGCCAACAGACATTAAAGGCATGCCTGCCATGTGCCAGGTTCTCTGCCAGGTTCTGAGGATGCAGAAGGGAACGGGGCAGATCTAGGCCCTGCCCAGTCCAGTTACCAGAAGCACACACGAGTCACAGGAGGCAGGGGCAGTTCGGTCGGAGCACCAGAAAGGACATACAACTGGCAGCAACTGGCCCTCAAGCTCTTGATGAGGGCCAGCGTCGGTACAAGGTGCCTCCATAACTGAGCCCTGAGCAAGTGGGAGCATCAGGTGGGATGCTGATGTGGAGGTAGAGGTGTGTGGTAGAAACAGAAAGGAGGAAACCGCTATGTGAATGGGGAGAGTTCATCATAATGAATTTTCAAACATACAGAAGTGCTTTCTAACCATGTGAGTAATCCCACCAGGGCATAGACCATTTGGAGGTGCCAGGGGCTCCCATCTCTAAAGACATTCCCATGAAGAAAGGCTCATCATCTTCCAGGGATATGGCAGTAGGAGTGAGAGTGATTTAAAAGACCCCAAAGGTACCTTGGATGAGTAGTTCATTTATCCATCTGTCTATCCATCCAGTCCTTCATTCAACAAATACGTGCTGAGTGTCTACTACGCACTAAGTGCTGAGCTTGATGCTTAGGAAACTGGAGGTGAGCCACACAGATCTGATGCCTGTCCTCGTAGTGTTCAATCATTACCTGAGCGATCGGTTGCAGTTATGATAAGAGCAAGGATGATGTAAAGTACTGGAGGCTCTGAGCATGTATACGGAGGGAGCTGACAGTCTAGGGCTGGCTGGGGAAGGGCATCTCTGAACAAGAAATATGTAAGCCCAGGTTTGAGGGCTCCTCCTCAGAAAGTAACAGAAGGGAGCGGAAGTAGGCAAGGCTGAGATAAAGAGAACTGACAGTAAGCAAACTGAGTCCGGTTGACCTGGGACCCTTGCAGCCTTCCGCAATTTGAAAGAGCCCAGAAGACCAGATGCGAAAAGGCTTCAAAAAGTTGGTGGGAAAAGGGAATTGTAAAACCACGGGAACTTTCCAGGAGCTTCCTGAAGCCCCTTTGTGTCTGGAGAAACTGGTCTATAGCTTCGGCTTTCCGTGCAGGTTGCAAGCAGGTCTCGTGCTCTGAAAGGTTGGCGGTTTGAGTCAGCTCAGAGGCACCTTGGAAGAAAAATCTGGCTGACTATGTCTGAAAATATCAGCCACTTAAAACCCTGTGGGACACGCAGTTCTACCAGGGCTCCGTGACTCAGAATCAACTCCACAGCAACTGGTACCGGTATTGGCGCGGGTAATCTATAGCGGGAAACCCATGCCTAAGCAGCCAGTGTTGGGGGTTGAGCATGCTCACCCCTGCATCTCAAGTCTACACCCATTTTCTTCTTCGCTCCCGGGTGATGCCCGGATGAGGAGGACCAGTGCCTCTCCTCCCTCTCTCTGTTCAAAGGAGAGAAAGCCATGCCATCGCGGACAGCAGCTTCCACACGGCTCTTACTGCCATCACAAACAGCAAGCTGCTTGGACCACAGGACAGACGGTGCACGCCTCCTGCCCAAGAACAAGAGAGATGATCTTGCCCCTGGCTCATGAATGGGCTGGCCCACAACAGGGTGAATGGGCTTCATCTCAGGGCCGGCACTCTGAGGTTACTGACAGTCCTGAGCTTGTCTTCAGCAGGTCCTTACCAGAATGCGAGGGCGAGAACTCAGAAGGCCGCTGCGTTCTGCCGCTGTTAATCACGGGCTGGACTCCTCTGTGTGCTGGGGAGCCCCGTTCACCGTCATTAAATAAGAACCTCCCTCATGATGCTCGCTCTGGGGGCCTGGAGAAAGCTCCCTAAGGAGCAGCTCCACTGCAGAGGAGCAGCAGCACCTGGGGACTCCTGCCCGTGTGCCCGCCAGCTGGGGCGGATACACTTTGTCCCGTGGGCACCTTGGGTCTCCCCCTCTCCTCTCTGATGGTGCCTCTGGGGATTGACACCCCTATCTGATGAGCCATGTTCTTAGGCAGGCCGTCCCAACCATGTCCTCCAGATAGGGGGACGAACCCATCCAACATTTCTGCCTCTGTAACCACAGGCAGAAAGCTAGAAAATGGGTTGTGTTTTCCCAGATAGTAAAGCGTGATATTAAAAGTGAACCTACCAGAGGCAGAAAGCCTTCCAACTTCGCTGCAGCAGCTCCACGGACTGCTAGGATCATCCTCAGGGAGTTGGGCTTCGGCCGGCGCCGTGCGTGGGCTTCCTTCTGTCCTGGCTTATCGTGTTAGGAGGTCTCTGACCAGTCACTGAGTCTCCAGGGTCCCTTCAAAGCCGTGGAAGGAGGCTTTCAGAAGAAGTGCACCTCTGGTATTTCGGAGGCTTGGGGTCAAGTGCATGAGGAATCGTCAGGGTTGAGTTGGAGTTGGCAAGTCGCCAAGAGCTCTCAGCCCTAGAAGGCCAACATCCCAGAGCAAAAGACAAATGGGCTCTGCTGGTGAGGTGCCCTTTGCATTGCACCCCAACATTGAGGTGGGTGTCTGTCCAGGCAGGCGTCGACAGACGTCAGATGGACCCTTGAGGGGGCTTAGCTGAGGAGCGTTTCCTGAGGGGACCGTCGACTGCAGGCAGAGTTAAGGGGACCCAAAAAGACTTACAACCGGGCGTGTGAAAGCTGGACATTGGATGAAGAAGGCCAAAGATGAATGGACACATATGAATTACGGTGCTGGCAAAGAACATTGAAAGTACCATGGACTGCCAAAAGGACAAACCAATCTGTCTCAGAAGCAGTACAACCAGAATGCTGCTTCAAAGCAACGATGGCAAGACTTGGTTTCAACGGCTTTGGACGTGTTCTCAGGAGAGACCAGTCCCTGGAGAGGGATGTCATACTTGGTAAAGGGCCGTGAAAAAGGAGGAAGGCCCCGACAAGGTGGACTGACCGAGTGCCGGAACAAAGGGCTCAGACCTCAGAACAAGCGAGAGGACGGCCCAGGCGGTGTTTCAGGCCAGCGCACAGAGACAGGGCCACGATGCCCAGGCGGTGTTTCAGGCCAGTGCACAGAGACAGGGCCACGATGCTCAGGCGGTGTTTCAGGCCAGCGCAGAGACAGGGCCACGATGAGTCATCGCTGTTTCACAGCAGCGCACAGACAGGGCCACGATGCTCAGGCGGTGTTTCAGACCAGCGCACAGACAGGGCCACGATGCTCAGGCGGTGTTTCAGGCCAGCGCACAGACAGGGC